AGTCATATGGTTCTCACATTTTGCTGTCTGACTTATTTCGCTTAGCATGATAATCTCAAGATCCATCCATGGTGTCACAAATGGCACTATTTTGTCTTTTCTTATGGCCAAGTAATATTCCACTGTATATATGTACCATATCTTCTTTATGCAATCATCTGTCTAAGGACACTTTGGCTGTTTCCATGACTTGGCTACCACGAATAGTACTGCAATGAACATGGGGGTAGATATATCTTTATGGATAAATGTTTTCAGATTTTTTTGGCAGATACACAGGAGAGGGATTTCTGACTCATATGGTAATTCTATTCCTAATTTTTTGAGAAATCTCCATAGGGTTTTCCATAGGGACTATACCAATTTGCATTCCCATCAGCAGTGTACTTGTATGAGGGTTCCTTTTTCTCCACAGCCTCTCCAACACTTGTTATTATTTCTCTTGTTGATGATAGCCATTCTAGCAGTTGTGAGGTGATATCTCATTGTGGTTTTGATTTGCATTTCCCTAATAGCCAGTGAAGTTGACAATTTTTCATATATCTGTTGACCTTTTGTATGTCTTTGTGGAAGACGTGTCTGTTCAGGTCCTCTATCCATTTTTTAATTGGATTCTTTATATTTTTGGTATTGAATTGAATGAGTTCTTTATATATTTTGAATATTGGCTCCTTATTGAAAGTGTTATTTTCAAATATCTTCTTCCATTCAGTTGGTTGTTTCTTTGTTTTGTTGATGGTTTCTTTAGCTGTGTGGAAGATTTTTAGTTTGATACAGTGCCATTCATTTATTTTTGCTTTTACTTCCCTTGCCTTTGAGGTCAAATTCATAAAATTCTCTCTGATCCTAAGGTCCCTAAGTTTAGTATCTATGCTTTCATCTATGCATTTTATTGTTTCAGATGTTATGTTTAGGTCTTTGATACATTTTGAGTTAATTTTGGTGTATGGTGACAGATAGCAATCTAGCTTCATTCTTTTGCATGTGGCTTTCCCATTTTTTCAGTTCCATTCTTTAAAGAGGCTTTCTTTTCTCTATTGTATGTTTTTGGCTCCGTTGTTGAAAATCATCTGCCCATGTATATGTGAGTTCATTTCTAGGTTCTCATTTCTATTCCATTGGTCTGTGTGTCTGTTTCCAGCCAATACCATGCTCTTTTGACTATTGTTGTTTTTAAGTATAAATTGAAGTCAGAGAGTATGATGCCTTTGTCCTTGATCTTTTTCTCAGGATTGCTTTGGCTATTTGTGGTCTTTTGTGACTCCATACAAATCTGATGAGTTTTGTTGTTGTATTTCTTTAAAAACATGCCATTTGGATTTTGATAGGGATTGCATTAAACCTGTACATTGCTTTGGGTAATATGGCCATTTTAACTATGCTGATGCTTCCAATCCATTAATATGGAATATCTTTCCATTTCTTTATGTCTTCTTCAATTTCTTTAAAAAATGTCTTTCAGTTTTCAGTGTATAGGTCCTTCACATCCTTTGTTAAGTTTATTCCTAAGTATTTTATTCCTTTTGTTGCAATTGCAAAAGGATTTTTTTTCATTTCTTTTTCTGAAATTTCATTGTTAGTATATAGGAACAAAGTGGATTTTTGTATATTGATTTTGTAGCCAGCAACTTTACTGTATTTATTTATTGTTTCTAATAGTTTTTTGGTGGTGTCTTTAGGGGTTTTTATATAAAGAATCATGTCATCTGCAAAAAGTGACAATTTGACTTCATTCCCAATTGGGTGCCTTTAATTTTTTCTCTTGCCTGATTGCTCTGGCAAGGACTTCCGATACTATGTTGAATAACAATGGTGAGAGGGGTCATCTCTGTCTTCTTCCTGATCATAGAGGGAAAGCTTTCAGTTTTTCACCATTGAGTATATTAGCCGAGGGTTTGTTGTATATGGCCTTTATTATGTTAAGGTACTTTGCTTCTATACCCATTTTATTAAAGTGTTTTAGTCATAAATGGAGATTGTATCTTGTCACTTAAATAAAACAGATCACCCTCTGTAATGTGAGTGTGCCTGATCCAATCAGTTGAAGGCCTTAGAATTTAAGAATGAGGTTTCCCAAAAAAGAAGGAATTCTGCCTCTAACTTCAACATAAAAATCCTGCTTGCATTTCTAGTCTGCCTACAGGTTTCAGACTCAAGACTATGATAGCAATCTGTTTCTGAGTTTCCAGTTGACTGACCTAAGCTGTGGATTTGGGACTCAAGACTACACTATGAACTTTTATCTGAGTAGATGGCCTGTTGAACAGATTTTAGACTTACCAACACACCCACTATCACCTAAGCCAAGAACTTAAAATAAAGACATAGAGATAGAGAGACAGAGATACAGATACACCTATAGATATAGATAACCCTATCAGTTCTATTTTTCTGGAGAAAAAGTTTCTCCTCACATAGTACTCCACAATTTCTTGTGAATTTTATAATTAGATACTAAATCTTGTGGAATGTGTGTAGCACCCAATAGTTTACACACTCTAAAATAGACACCTCTCTTGTTTAAACATAGAAAACAAAATACTTTCATATAAAAAATAAGTATTTTGTTCTACATAATTCTCAAAGCATAACATGATCAATTTCTCCTTATTTCTACTCCTGTATATTTGTGTATCATAAATGGCTGTTTACACATATTCTAATAATTTAAGCTTATCTCACATTAAGGAATAAAAAATAGAGCAATGTTAAATAAAAATTAATTTACCCTAGCCTATATATCATATGTATGGGCTATAATAATTACATAATAAATATGTATTTTTCTTGGTATAAATGAATGCCTATATTTTCTACATTTAACAATTATAATTGCAACATAGTTTAAGGTTATTTATCATTCTCTATATTATTCTTAGTTTTTAAAAATATATTGGTCAAATGAAATATGTTTTTATATTAATTTCAACATCCAAAGCAATAGAAGTGTCCTAAATTCAAACACACACACACACATACACACACACACACACACACACACACACACTATTTAATAGTTGCTTTCTTCTTAAAAATACAAATCTGATATTTTTCACTCATTTATTAACTCTTCCATAAGAGTATAGTACTTTTTTAAATATAGGAATTCTTTCTATCCTTATATTTCTTTGCACTTCTCAATATGCATTTCTTCATAACCTCATTGTTTTAAACAATCTCAACATTGAGTTAAATTCTTCCCTTTATTTGAAATAAAAGGTCATTAGGGCCGGCCGAGTGGCATGATGGTTAAGTACTGGCTTGGGATGCCAGAGGTCCCCGGTTCGGATCCCACATATGAGGACCAGTAACACTGCCCTCCACAGCTAAGATAATGTACAACAGCTCAACCTGGAGCTGGGCTGCTGTGAGTCACTGGCGATGGCGTAGGCTGCAGCCCCTGTGGCAGTGGGTTGTCATGGGCTACTGTATGTAGCCAGCAGCCAGCGTGAGTGGCCAGCAGCCGCAGTGAGTGGCCGTCCAGAAGCCGGCGACTGATCTGCCTACCCGGGGAGGAGTGCAATGATGGTGCCAACTTGGGCCAGTGGAGCAATGTCCTCCACAACTAGACTGAAGAACAAAAGGACAGAAACTTGTCTGTTCCCCTTCCCCCAATTCCCCAGCACTTTTCCCATCCCTGCAATTCCCCAATAAAAATCTTTAAAAAAAAAAAAAAGTTCATTAGATTACTTTATCCTAAGGCTATCTGGAAGAAAACTGAACTATCTTATCTCATGCTCATAGTTATTTTCATTTTCCTGTTCAAGGGCATGACTTTAAGGTATAAAATGTTATCTCTATATGAGTATATTGATATATGATAACAACACTGACTACTAGCAAGCTGGAAACAAGAGTGGAACACACAAGATCTAAACCATGGCATTAATACCTATTTTACTCAAATCTCATGGCCATGATACCTTAAAAATGAGTATTCAGAGAGGGTTACATGATGAAGTCTGCCAATAACTTACCTTATTTTGGATGTTTGGTGTATGTATGAACTTGTGTGGGAACAAATAAGTAGCATAGATACCTTTAGTATTACATAATTTAGTTTACACATATTTATGTGGAGATATATATGTATATAGAAATGTATACACTTTTCTATATACATATATATATAAAAATGTATACACAAAAAATTGTATACACATTTTAAGAAAGGAAAAAAACTATTAAAATTGTAATAATATATATACCGTTAACAAAAGATGAATACAAGTCACGTTTGACTTCTGCAATCACAAGAGGTGCTCAAAGTGGTCACCATCAGCACCCAGACACTTTTGATTATGGCGAACTACTGCTTGAGCAACGCTGACCAAAGTGTCCACTTGTATACATTTTTTTGGCATCCTCGGTATATATCCATGGTAGTATAAAATAATTACATTTTCTTATCATCATGCTAAAAACATTTCAAATATGTATAATCAGTACCCATTTTGTCAGATATTCTTTTATTTTCTGAATGTTATATCAAAGTTTTACAGAATAAAACCCCTTCTGAGAAAGGTAAGGTACATGTAAATAAATAAAGGAATTTATATTTTTCCATATAAATCTAAATTGTTCATTCCATTGAGACCTCATGAAAAATGAGATGAAAAGTAAAAGGGAGCCAACATTTATAAAGCACTGAATATACCCCAATTTCCCATCAGGTTATTTACATGGTATTTTCTTTCATGTTGTTAAAGTAAACATTGCCTTAATGGGAGACGTTCTAAATTAAGGAGAGGTGAAATTGTGTTTATTTTTGGTATTTCACGTCTATTGCCTTTATTTTAATTGCAAACAAGTATTTAGGAATGCACAATATATTATTTACCAACTTCAAATATAAAACCTACATAGCATAACAGCCAATATCATAGTTTTAAATTTTTCTTCCCAAAAGTCTTATATATTTTTTCATTGTATTCCCAATATATAATTGTACTTAACAAAGTTGCTGCATAAAAATGCAAAGGAATAATTCAAATACTTGCCTGAAATCCAAGGAGCTTTTCACTAGGTTTGATGTGCCTCTGAAATTCGCATTCTATGGGTTGTATCACTTTGATTCCATCTTCATAGAAAACATAGAACATGTTTCCAATTCCTAGGCCTTGGAAGTAAAAACACATTAAAAAGTTTAAAATAAAATTATGAGAAAATTTGACAACCAAAATTCAGCGCCCCTCATATTGCTGACAGGATATCAATTTGTGAAGCCGTGTAATGTTAATAAAGCAAACCACATGTGACATTTGTTGTATGTCCAGGCAATTTGGTGACATTATGCAGACATTCTACTTTATTTCCCTTATCTAAATTCAGTGATCACTTTAATATAATTTAATAAATGTTTAATATATTTTAGAATAATTTTTATAATAATTATATATATATATTAATCATATATTTTAGAATAATTACAAATGGAAATTATAAGCTCTTTGATACATAAATTATGTCTGATACCTTCTCCACTTAATTTAGGTATTAAGGAATAAAAGTACTTTTTGAAGAACCATATTTATTCTAGTATTTTTATTAGAGCTTCCTGGAGAAAATGAAATGTCATTTGTTTTAGAAATTTAGTTTATATGAAGACTTTTAGAAACAAAAAGACCAAATTCCTCAGATTTTGGAGGATGTATATTTTCGTAAACTAATTTTTGTAAATATAATCCTACAGAGGTCTTATATGTCATTATTTACACTGGTAGTATTTTCGGTTTATTTCTATACTTTAAAACTTGAATTAATTTAATGTCTTAGAAAAAGTTCAGTGTAGGTAACTAAAAAGATACTTTTAATTTTTTTTCACACTAGAGATAAGTGTGTGGCATCTCAGAAATTGCTATCGCTTTATAAATGCACACCTAATGGGTTCATTATGCTATAAATGCAATACCTGGAACGCAGTTCGGGTTAACTGAGGCCTGCACCTGGGGAGCTTCTGCAAGTTGTTGCTCACCTGTTCTGTTTCCTCTGCTTGCCTTGTTCCAGCATGTCCAGACCTAATAGTATACAGGCCTTCCTTTTCTGAGTCTCACCTAATTAGCCCCCTTGCCCAGTTGTATTGGTTTCCTCAATCATCTTTGTTCAGTCTAATTATACCTTATATGAGTTAGTGATATCACATGTTCTTTAAAAGATAAGTAATGATATTGAACTCTTGATAGTTTGGAAAGCAAACCATTGCTGCTTAAAATGTTTACATTCTGAAAAAAAAACATCTATAAGGAGGAAGGTAATTTTATTATTATTATTTTTTTTTTTTTAGCTGAGCCATCCTGCCACCTGTTGGCAGCTCAGTGGCAGCTCAACTCAGGCTGGGTATTGAACCGCTGTTGCTCAGAGCTCAAAATCTTGAGCGAGCTCTTAACCAACTGAGCCACTCGGCTGGCCCCTAGATAATATTTTTAAATACAAAAAATTCCCCAAGCATTATTTTTATTTCAATTGAGAAAACCTGTAAGGTCTATTAAGTCAAGCCTGGAGATCACAATAAAAGTGAATTGATTTGTAAAAAATATTTGTTCGATTTAAGATGTATTTATTCTTATTACATATGTTCTTAATGAATAAAAATAAGTCACCAATTTCACCCATTTATCCACGTGTCCGACTAGTCTTATGATTTAGAGAAAAATGTATTGAAGTATAGTATGACTTTATTTGTGTTTATACAGTGTTTATAATTTTCTTATAGCACATGTCATTTCTATCTAATCATACATATACCTTTAAGCGACTCCAGATTGTTTTGACACATCTTGTTTCATAAATATTTTACAGTGCTCATATTTTAATACATGCAATCTTTATCAGTTAATTGAACATTTTAAGTTCAGAGAGTACTACATTACAGTGGGATGTTTGTAAATATCAGCAGAAGTGGCAAGAACTAAATTTCAGTCATATTTTTCATAGACTAAAATCTAGTAATAGTTAGCTATTCTTTATAATTATAGCTGTGCATGGAGGACTATAAATCCCATATCTAAATAAAACTTTAAAAAAACAATTTTTATGCAAATAACTGATTTGTATCAGTAAGTGTCCATAAACATTAACATAACGTCAATAGTGCTATATTATCAGTGACTATCAATTTAACATTAATTGCTGTTGAAACTTATGAACATAACCAAGTAGTAATGTGATGTCTGATTTTCAGTTGGCAGTTACATACTATGTTTGGTAATTATTACAAAGCCCATAACATTTTATATATATATATATATATATATATATATATATATATATATATATATATTTATT